AAAAAAAAAAAAAAAAAAGAGAGATGATACAGGAATGGGACAGTTGGCCATTAATGTAACACAATACTGAGACAATCAATACTGAGAAATGGTTTGTTTGGGCTCACAGTTTTGGAGGTTTCAGCCCATGCTTGCTTGTCCTCATTGCTTTTGGACCTCTGTGAGGTGACACTGTGTGGTGGGAGTGTGTAGTGGAGGAAGATGCTCAGCCAGGAAGCTAAGAGTGAGGATGAGGAAGGGCTGAGGGCCAGGTACCCTTCCAGGACATGACCCCAGCTACTGAGACCTCCCACCAGGCACCATCTCTTAAAAAGTTTTACCATGTCAGGGCTAAGGACAGTGGGCTTTTGGAGGACATTTAAGTTGTGAACCATTGTAAGGGGGAATGAAGTAATCATGAGCTGGGTCTCTGGACCCGCCCCCCCTCCCATCTGGGTCCTAGTCCACAATATCCTAACTAGGTTCGGGGTTTTGAGTCTTAGTGTCTCACCTGTGAAATGGGGACGGTAACAGCTACGGGGAAAGGCTGCTAGGAGGCATCAGCAAGGTACTATGTGGATGGGGCTGGTCTTTACTTGAGCCATTACAGTTACAATTATTGCTTATAGTAAGACAGAAACTTATGAAATGGATGAAGTCAGTGTTCATGTTCAGCTGGAGGGGTGTGGTTCTTAGCTGCAGGGTGAGGAACTGGCCATACCCATTATATGTTTCTTCTTCACAGCATACATGGAGGTGGGGAGCATTATCATCAGGGAGGTTCTAGAACATTCCCTTTGCTTGCGCCGCTCAGAGGTGGCAGGGCTATATGTAGCCAGTCTGTGACTTCACAGATTGTCCTGATACCCTGTGCCAATCTGTTGAACTGATAGTTTATATACTCTGTCCTGTACCATGAGACAAGGAGAAGACAGTTAGATGGAGTGGGGAGAGGCAGACATTATACTAAAACTCTGTAACCTGCACTGTTACTCCAGCCTGGGAGATTTACCCTACTCCCTCCCCAACCCCATCTCCCTCCACCCAGCAGGTACAACATGGCTGGTGCAGCCTCCCCTTCTTGATCCCCAGGGCAGAGCCCAGGGCAAGTCTTCCTTCCCTTCTTCCAACCATTCTAGGGCAGGTGCCAAGGCTGTGGGCTCAGCATGCCAGTCCCAGCTTTTGTGAATGGCACTGAGTGGACCTTGACATTCCTGTTCTGGCCCCAGACACTGCAGCTTCTCAGGCTCTTCGTGGAGAGCCATGATTTCTTTTGAGGTGGTCAGATTTTTGCCCACCCTGCAGCTCTCAGAGTAAAAGTGAGTTTTTTGATTTTTTACCTTCCAGGAAGCCCTCCCGGCCCACCCTCAGGGGCCGGTACAGATGGAGAAAGCTTTTTGATGCATTTCATCTTAAATTGATTTTGGTCTCTTCCCTTTCTGACTTCCTTTTCATTTCTCAACAAGGGTGTCTCATTTGCCACCAGAAAGGAGTCCCTGGAGGCTGCACTAAGCTTGCTTGAATTTTGTCTCATTAAAGAGAAAGGAGTTAGGAAGATACTTGTTTAAACCCACATAATAAGAATTCGAGTTGGTTAAAAATTCATAGGTTTATTGAATTCGTACGCACACAACTATCTCTTTTAAAGCTCATATAACTGAACTTACAAAAAGACACCATCAAACAGCATTTTAAATTGTTTACTTGTGGCGCCTTAGGATCTTGGTAACTTGTATAAAAGAGAGGACTGGAGTGGTTATTGGTCTTGGAGGGTGTGAGGCTGAGAAGAAAGTTTGTAAACATCCCCTGTACAATTGCATTGATGAGGACCTGTGTTCTTGATCTGTTTCTCTATAGAATTTTCTTTCCAAGCAGTGGTATGGAGAGATTTCTCGAGACACCAAGAACTGGAAGATTATTCTGTGTCTGTTTATCATCCCCTTGGTGGGCTGTGGCCTTGTATCATTTAGGTATGAACCTTGGCACATGGTTGTTATTTGTGAGTGTGTGTGTGCACCCACATTCCTGCATGTGCTTGAGCATCTGTGTAAATGACTGTAACACTCTGAATGCAGAACCTTCACCATGGCGCTCCGCACTTGGTCTGGTAGCGCCTCTGCTTTTCCTGCGTTTGATTTCACACAGGTAGAGATAAGGTTGTGTCTTCAGTTTCCTAGGCGGGAATCTGGCCTTGCTAATCATGAAACTCCGGGGCTCCATCTTGATTGGATCCATCTTAGGCCTCGCCAGTTCCCCCAGCTGAGGGTTGGCTCTCTGTAGCGGGGGAGGAGGGCTGTTGCTCACGTGTGTACATGTGCATGCATGTGTGTGTGCATGCAAGCGTGCATGTATGCACGGATGTTGCGCATGCGTGGGCCGCCCTTTTGGACGCTGCACATGCGCGGGCTGCCTTCTTGGACGCTGCGCATGTGCGGGCGGCCCTTGTGGATGCTGCACATGTCCAGGCTGCCCTCGCGGATGCTGCGCCTTCGCGGGCCACCCTTGTGGAAGCTGCGCATGCTCAGGCTGCCTTTGTGGGCGCTGCGCATGTGCAAGCTACCCTCGTGGATGCCGCGCATGCGTGGGCTGCCCTCTTGGACACTGCGCGTGCGCGGGCCGCGCTCGCACGTCCAGGACGCCCTCGCGCCTCTCCCTCTGCAGGAAGAAGCCCATCGACAAGCACAAGAAGTTGCTTTGGTACTACGTAGCCTTCTTCACCTCGCCCTTCGTGGTCTTCTCCTGGAACGTGGTCTTCTACATCGCCTTCCTCCTGCTCTTCGCCTACGTGCTGCTCATGGACTTCCACTCGGTGCCGCACACGCCCGAGCTGATCCTCTACGCGCTGGTCTTCGTCCTGTTCTGTGATGAAGTGAGGCAGGTAGGCCGCGCCGCGCCCGCCGGCGTCCGCTTCCGGGTTCGCAGGCGCCCCTGACCCCGCGCATGCGCGCGCTCGCTGGGTGGCGCGGGCGGGCGGGAGGTGGGGGCTTGGGGTCCCACCCCTGCTGTCCAACAGCCCGCGCCTGCTGGGCTCCTGACATGGCCCAGGCCCGCGGGCGGCACCCCAGCGGCCTTGGCTCTTCCAGGGCCGGAAGGAGGCCGTCCTGGGCAGTCCCTTAGCTTCTGGAAGCCTTCTGCCGGTCTTCGCCTCTCTGGCGCTTGTTGGTGCAGTGCACGGCCGCCGGGACCCATGCCCGTAGAGTGCCCTTCCGTGTGTGACTCTGCGTCCCGAATTCTCCATGTCCTGTCCTGTCCTTCCTTTGGTCCTTTCTGGACATGTGTCATATTGAGTCAGGGCCAGTCAACTTCAGGGTGACTTCCTCTTAGCCCACTCAGCGGTGTCTACAGTGACCCAGTTTCCAAAGGAGGTCGTAGTCCAAGGTTCTCTTGTCTCTGTCTGTCTCTGTTTCTGTGTCTGTCTCTCTCAGCAGCTATCCTTTGTTCCTTGGCTTTTCTTCCTCATCATGACAGGTCGTGGGGAAGAGCATCGGAGGAGGGGAACTGTCCATGGGAGAGAAGCGCAAGCTGCTGGGACATTGCGCACTGGGGGGATGGGGTGCCAGACCAGGCCAGGGTGTAGCGTGTGAGGGGCTCACAGCCAGAGGGAGGGATGCCATTAGAAGAGGGAGAGAGAAAAGGAAAGGAAGAGGAAGGAAGGAGGGAAAACAGAAGAATCAAGTAGTAAAGAAGGAAGAGAAGATAGGGGAAGGAAGAAAGGAAGAGGAGGGAGGGAGGTAAGGAAGGAAGGAGGAAGATAAGAGAAAAAGAGGAAAGATAGGGAAGGAATTGCAAATAGGCAGTTATAGGTAGTCACTGGATGTCCTGTTGTGAGGTGATTTTTGACACAGAGGGTGGGTGTGAGTGTATCTATTCAGTCTTCTTTCTCTCTTTCCTTTCTTTGTTCCTTTTTATTTTCTTTCCTTTCTTTCCTATCTTCGTTCTTTTCTTTTTCTCTCCTTTTTTTTTCTTTTGTCTCTTTCCCTCCTCCCTCCTTCCCTCCTCCCTCCCTCCCTTCTTCCCTCCCTTCCTTCTGTCCTTTCTCTCCCTTTCTTCCTTTTCCTTTTGTCTCTTTGCCTCCCTACCTCTTTCCCTCCCTTCCACCCTCCCTCCCTCTCTCCTTCCCTCCTTCCTTCCTTCCTCTTTCTTTCTTTGTTTCTCTTCACACCTCCCCTTCCCTCCTTCCCTTATATCCTCTCTGCCTGCCTGCCCTCCCTCCCTCTCTTTTTTTTTTTTTTGACTGTTTAGACACTAGAATATTATTCAGCAGAATGATGAACGAATTAAAACAACACATAACAAACACAAATAAATCCCACAAGACATGATGCTGAGCCCAGGAAGCCTGGGCCAAAAGGATGCATACTGTATATACATGTCCACAAATATAAAATTTAAAATCACATAAAACTAATCTGTGATTTTACAAGTCAAGCAGTGTGTGGCTGGGGGGAGCGGAGGTGTCATTTAACCTCAAGGATACATGAAGGGGGCTTCTGAGTATTGGTGACATTCTGATTCTTGAGCTAAATTCCTATTACAGAGTTGTATTCACTTTATGAAAATTCATTTCAATTGTATACTTTTCTGTAGGCACAAAAATGTGGTTTGAATGAAAAACATTTTAAATACTTCATTTTTTGGGGGGGGTCCGGTCGTGGGGACTGAACTCTGGGCCTGGGCGCTGTCCTTCAGCTCTTCAGCTCAAGGCTAGCGCTCTACCACTTGAGCCACAGCGCCACTTCCGGCTTTTTTCTTTTTTGCTTATGTGGTGCTGAGGAATCGAACCCAGGGCCTCAGGCATGCAAGGCAAGCTCTCTACCACTGAGCCACCTTCTCAGCCCCTTTAAATACTTCATGAGAGGAAAAAAAAGTTCTGGATTGCAGGACACGGGTGGCTCATGCCTGTAATTCTAGCTACTCAGGAGGCTGAGATCTGAGGATCGCGGTTCAAAGCCAGCCCAGGCAGAAAAGTCCATGAGACTCTTATCTCCAGTAAAATACTCAGAAAACCAGAAGTGGCACTATGGCTCAAGTGGTAGAGCACTAGTCTTGAGCTGAATTGCTGAGGGACAGCGTGCAGGCCCAGAGTTCAAGCCCCACAACCACTACCACCAACAACAAAAAGTCCTGGAGGACTTTGATGAAAAGACTTAAACCATTGGGAATATTTTATTTTCCTATGTTGGACATAGAACTCAGAGCTTTGTGGATTCTAGAGGCCAGGCAAGTGCTCTACTGCTGAGCTACATCCCTAACCCTGTGGTGGTTTTTGTTTGTTTGCTTGCTTGTTTGGTTTTGAGACTGGGTTTTTTTTTTTTTAATTTATTTTTTATTGTGAAAATACTGTACAGAGGGGTTACAATTACATGGGCAAGATAATGAGTACATTTCTTTTTTTTTTAAATGTTCTAGAATCTTAGAATTTATTAATTTTCTCTTCTGAGATTTTGAGTTTTTAAAAATTTTTTTTTAATTGTGAAAATACTGAACAGAGGGATTACAATTACATGGGCAAGATGATGAGTACATTTCTTTTTTTTTTTCTTACGTCAGTCATTTATTCATCACTTCACCTGAGGCTTCAAAAAGTAAAGAACTTGCTCCCTCCCTCTCTTTCTTCCTCCCTCCCTCCCTGTCCTCCTCCCTCCCTCCCTCCCTTCCTTCCTTTGCTTCACTGGTGTGGTGCTGAGGATTGAGCTCAGAGCCTCTCTGTGCACTGGTTTCTTTTCAGTTAGGGCCTCCTTTACGGGTTGTGGATCTCCTACTGTGCTCCACATACCACTGGGGCGACAGGCCTGGGCTCCTCCCTGTGCGCAGCCACTAGTTTGGATAGAGTCATGTGAACTACTTTTTCCCAGACTGACCTCAAAGTACAATCCCCCAATCTCTACCTCCCATTTTGCTAGATTATAGGCTTGAATGGTCACATCCCGCTTCTTTTTTTTTCTTTTTAAGTGCTATCTTCAAATGATCCTGTTTCAATTCAGCGATCTTGAGTTGAAAGAGCCCTGTGCTAAGTACAGCAGTGTGTGCTCAAGCCTGGCTCTGCTGTTTGAGGTCATTGCCAGCCTGGAAGAGCCTGTCGTTAAAGAATCTGCCACGGGGCGTCGCTGTTTCCCTCTTCTCTGGTCCTTTGCAATCCTAAAGGGAGTTGCTTCCAGAAAGAATGCTGCTGGCTGGGTGCTGTCTTAACCTGGTTGGCACTTGTTGGGAGGGGTGTGGAGGGGAGATGGGGGGAATAATCCAGAACAGGACACTGCTGATTTCAGATTGTGTTTGGGACTCAGAGCGCTGTGTCTCACGCTGACCCCTTGTCCCGAGGCAGATGGGCGACCACTGGGGACTTTTACATCTCTCTCAGCTCTGCCAAGCAGACCTACACATTTATGCACAGTGGCAGACGTTCCTTCTGCTTTTCAGTCCTGCCCCTGGTGGTATCTGCGCATGCTGAGGCACGTGATGAACACCATCTGGGGCTTTGCCAGTCTTTCCACGGGGGAACACGGGTCATTTCCCTCTTTGTGGGTGCTGGGTTTTATAGCCGTCTCCCGCTTTGTCCACGGGCGCTCCTGTGTGTGCTGATCCCAGGGAAGGCGACTCTTCTTGAGAAGTTGGCCGTGTGTCTTGACGCACGTGTCATAGCTTGCAGGATCTCTGTGGAGTGTGGGATGTGATGGACAGAGGGAGGTTCAGAACCGTGAGGGCTGCCATGTATGAGGCAAGAGCCCCAGCCTCCCTCTCTCGGCCTCCCCGGCCCAAGGCAGGGCAGGATATCTGTACATGGAGAACCAGACAGGTGCAGTCTGTAAACTCACACAGGGAAAGGGTGAAGTGCCGAGGGCGTTGATTTCCTGACTTGCACAGGTCACTGTGCTTTCCCTACCTGAGCTGGCTTGGTGGGAACTCCTGCCTTACCTCCTTTTATTTTAAACATATTTAACAGAAGCTATATATCATGGAGTGAGACAGTCAAGAGTCCGCATCCTACCTAATCCATGCCTTAGGTTTCAGGAGCCTGGCCTGGGGTTTAGAATCTGGTGAGATTTTGAGTTCCCCAGATTGAATTTATGTATTGCTACAGCATTTTTGAAGGAAGTTCATTATCGAGAGCTTTTCTTTATTGCATGTGCCAGGGAAGTTTTAGAGTGAGCTCCCAAATCTATGGTACCATCTGCGTAGATGACACCCCTTCCTCATAATGACACAGCACCCCATCTACCACTGGACGTGGGGACCCCGATGTTTCACATGGAGTGCTCACTCAGTAGGAGCCCTTTGCTCGACTTTGCCAGGAGCACAGGAATGGCAGCAGCTACCATTCACCCTCCTTTCCAGTCAGCCCCCTGCATGAGCATGAGGGAGTGCTCGGTCTCGCTTAGCCAGCCCATCAATCACTCTTAGGACCAAAAAAGAACTGGAGAAAGTGTGTGACCATGAAGAGGTCTGGGGGTGGCTGTGTTTCCAAGTGTCCCTCTGTCCCTTCTGTGCTGCAGTGGTACATGAACGGGGTGAACTACTTCACTGACCTCTGGAACGTCATGGATACGCTGGGGCTCTTTTATTTCATCGCGGGGATCGTGTTCCGGTACGTAGCCAGCCCGCCTCCCGGTCCCAGGCTCAGGCATTTGGGACACAAAAGTGGAGTGGAGCTCTGGACATCCGAAGCCCATGGGAAGTCCGTGGTGCCACTTCCCCATTGGAGACCGTTGTCCAGGCCCTCATGTGTGCTCTGAGAGCCACAGTTTGCCTGGCAGCAAGTTTGTGTCTCCTCTCTTCCCCTTCCTGGTGATCTGTAACCAAAAAGAAAAAAAAGGGCTTCTTTGTCCTCATCGGCATTTGGGACAGATAATCGGAAATCGCAGAGGGCAGAGGGCAGTGGAGATGTTAAATATCTTCCGGTATCGGTTCTTAGATGCCCTGGACTTTGGCTTGCATGCTGGCTGTGACCTTCCAGGTGCCAACACACTCCCTCCAGCATAGAGCCAGAGCTTGTGACTAGATATGCAGAGGCACAAGCAGGGTGATTCCATGTCATGGAGAGGCGGGGGTGAGCCCCCGCCGTGATCCCCATTGCCCGTGCCCCCGCCCTCCATGCCTGCCTGCCCCACTGAGCTTCACAGCTCCTGTTCTGTAGTGCACACGTGTGGCGCCATCTTGTAGAGCAGCCGCACCAGCTCTGCTGCCAGCTGTGAACACCCAAGAGCTCACCCTCCCACCTGAAGGTGGGTAGGGACCATCCTCAGCCTTCCTACATCAGTCCAGTTGGCAACACATATAATTTGATCTACGCGTTAGCAGGTGGTTAGCCAACTGAGTAATCGGGTGAGAAGGAGGTGAATTTATTAGGGGGACACTTCAGCATCTAGTAAGGGGTTGGGGTTAGGGTTGGCATCTTGTCCAAGCATTTCAACCCAAAGGAGTGTCGAGAATGGTTGGTTATTACAGACCTCTACAAGAAAAACTATAAAGCAATGAAGAGGGAAACTGAAGAAGACACTAGATCATGGGATTTATGGGTTGTATGGATTTCATGGATGGGTAGAATTAATATTACAAAAAAGTCTGTATTTATTAAAACTATCAGCAGATTCAGTGAAATCTCCACTGAACAACAGCAACGAAAAGGAATGATTGGTTCCTACAGGACTGTCTCAGGGTGAGGGATGGAGGAGGAGCCTGTGGGGCTCAGCTTTGCTCAGTTCTGACCCGGTCCTGCTCTTCCATGGTGTCCCAGCAGGAGAGCCCCAGTGCTATTTCTGGCCCATTTCCACACACTTTGCGCCCCCCGCCCCCTGCGTGTGGATCCCTTGAAAATGGAAATTATAAAGTGCTTTTCCAGTTATCTACAACTCACCTTTTCCTTCTTCTCATAGGCTCCACTCTTCTAATAAAAATTCTTTGTATTCTGGACGAGTCATTTTCTGCCTGGATTATATTATATTTACCTTACGGTTGATTCACATTTTCACCGTAAGCAGAAATCTAGGACCGAAGATCATAATGTTGCAGAGAATGGTAAGAGCCAGGCGGAGCCCTGGGCAGCATTACTGGAGCTCGGTTAGAGTTCTGTTGGTGGCTGGAGGGAGTGTGTGACCTGTGGGATGATGGTGGCATTCATGGGGGGGAGGCTTGTTCTCCACGTGTGTTCCTCGGAGCCTTTTCCAGATGACAGCTTCAGAAAACAAGGCTGGAGAGCTAATTTAGAGCCAAGCACAGGTCGCTCATACCTGTAGCCTTAGCTACTTAGGAGGCCGAGATCTGAGGATCATGGTTTGAAGCCATTCTGGGCAGGAAAGTTGCAAACTAGCAAAAACCTGCAAGTGGAGGTGTGTGGCTCAGGTGGTAGAGTGCCAGCTTTGAGCAAAAAATGAGAGAGAGTCTAAGACCTTGAGTTCAAGCCCTAGTACTGGCATGCATACACACGCACACACATACAATACTATATTTCTTGTGCTGCTAGATTTTACTCATGGCTGCCATTTGAGCAAGTGGTTTGCTGAGGGCGTGGTGGGGTGGGGCTCTTGAATCACAGACATGGGTGGTGGAATCCGAGGGCTTCAGTTCCACAGTGATGCATAGAGCAAGGGCCGTAAGCTAAAGCACATTGTGTGACAAATCGAGGGCAAGTGCCACCTGGAGAGATGCTGTCTTCTAGCGCAGCCTCCAAGCAAGCAGACCTCTGCCGTTTCTGTCTGGAAGTCAGATGAGTGTTGCATCAGCTCATCTCAAAGTTCCTTTCCGAAACTGAGGTTGATTTTGTGGTTTCTAACTCAAAGCATTTCGGAGGCGCCAGGCACTATGAAGTCATGCTATGTGTGCAAAATGATTTAAGAAAATTAAACCATCCATTCTTGTCCCCGAAGGACTGCTGCTACTTTCCTAAATAAATAATTTAGGGTTTCAAGAACCTGCATCTCAGGCAGTGTGGACACAGGAAAGATTGCAGGAAGGACTTCCCAAATGGAGGTTTTTCTTTTGTTGTTGAGTTGGGCGCTCTGTCAGCCATGGGTGAGCTGTTAGAAGATGAGTAAACAAAAGTACACGCGTCGGGGTTAATTGTGGAAAATAAGATGCCCTAAGATCTAAAGGTGAAAGTGTCAATTTTTTTTAAAAGCTAATGGCTGAGCAGCTAGTTCATCCTGCTTTTCTGGGCCGTGGGGCTTCGCCCTCCCTCGAGGCCGTGGGGGCCAGCCACGCTGGGCCCAGCCTGACTGCTGTCCTGTCCCCTTCCACAGCTGATCGATGTGTTCTTCTTCCTGTTCCTCTTTGCGGTGTGGATGGTGGCCTTCGGGGTGGCCCGGCAGGGTATCCTCAGGCAGAATGAGCAGCGCTGGAGGTGGATTTTCCGCTCAGTCATCTATGAGCCCTACCTGGCCATGTTTGGCCAGGTGCCCAGCGACGTGGACGGTAAGCCTGGCATGGCTCTCGGGTGGGGGATGGGGTGCTCGGAGGAGGAAGTTGCTCTGCTGGCCTGCCACTCAGGCCACAGCTTCAAGTATGCCCAGTCCCCCCACCCCTTCCCGGGGTCTGGCATCCTCAGTTGAAAATGAACCCCTCTAAATGTTTTCTTTGCTCCTAAAAAAGAATCTCACCTAGCACATTAACAAAAGTGTGTGTGCATGTATGTACCAGCACTGAGTCCTGAACTCAAGGCCTTGAGTTCTTACTTTGGCTTGGTTTGTTTGCTTGGCTGGTGCTCTACCACTTGAGCCACATCTCCAGGTAGCTTTTTTTGTCGGTCATGGGGCCTGAACTCTGAGCCTGGGTGCAGTCCCTCAGCTCCCCAGCTCAAGGCCAGTGCCCTACCACTTGAGCCACAGCGCCACTTCCGGCTTCTTCTGCTTACGTGGTATTGAGGAATCCAACCCAGGGCCTCATGCATGTAAGGCAAGCACTCTACCACTGAGGCACCTTCCCAGCCCCTCCAGGCAGCTTTTTTGATGGTTTAACTGGAGATGGAGTCTGGAGACTTTGCTGCTTGAACTGGCTTGGAACTTTGGTCCTCCGGATCTTAGCCTCCTGAGTAGGACTTGAGGCATGAGCCATCAGCTCCAGGCTTGGGATGCTGACGATGGCGTTGGCTGTCTGCTGGTGTCCTGCTGCCGCGATCAATCCTGGCAGCTTCCCAGAGCCGGGCTGGCACGTGCCACCAACAAGCGGCATGCCCTTGAGAAGCGCTGCCAGCTTTTTATCTCTCAGGTGCTCTGGGGGTCAGCCTTCCTGCCTTTCTAAGGGCATCCTGCTGCCCTGGGCTCTGAGGATCATCCCCGGCCATGAGCAGCTCTAAGGCCAGGGGTTTGTATCTCCCCCTTGCCCCCTCCCTCCCTCCCTCCTGCTCTCCCTCCCTTCCTTCCTCCCTCTCTCCCTTCTTTCTCTCTTTTTCCACCTTTATTTCTTTTTCCCAAACCCATTATTGATTTCTCTTTTGGCTGGTCCTGGGACTTGAACTCAGGGCCTGGACACTGTCGCTAAGCTCTTCTGCTTGGTGCTCTACCACTTGAGCCCCAGCTCCACCTCCAGCTATTTTAGTGGTTAATTGGAGATGTAACTCTCATGGACTTTCCTGCTTGGGGTTGGCTTCGAACCACAATCCTCAAATCTCAGCCTCCTGAGTGGCTAGGAGTACAGGCATGAGCCGATGGCCGCAGCTCTCCTGCCTGTTTGGAGTTGAACCTGCTCAGACACAGCTGAGCATGTCCAGGGAAAGGTCCCGTCTCCTATCTAGGCTCAAGGTTCCTCCAAGGACCCCAAGCTGGGCAGCTTCTTTAGGGGCACAGCTGTGCGTGCAGGCCAGAGCCCACTGCGTCCTTCATTCCACTCCCACATTCCAGCCTCAGCTACTTGAGTGGATTTTTGTCTCCACAGTGTCCTTGAGTCAGACTGCTTGGTTTCACCTGCTCCGTATCCAAGCTGTCCTCATTCCTGTCTGCCAGGAGCTTAATCACAAGCCCCACATGTCCTTCTTGGCTTTCCCATGGTCTCCGCTGCTGCCAGAGGGCCTCCCATGAGACACAGCTGATAAACCCAGACTGATGGCTTCCCATTGCTTTTAGTATATAACTCGGAAGCGTGGTGTGTCTGGTCACTTCTTTCATGTGAGAGGTCAGTGTTTCCAATCGCCACCACAGGGCCTTGACACATGCTGGCCTGGGTAGGAATGCTCTGGGCCCCTCCTCCTCCCTGCTCATTCCTGTAGCTGGCTCCCACCTTCTCCTCATGGCATGTTCTTTTGGAACCCGTCCCTGGTGCCCTGCCCACTCAGGTGGGTACAAGGAAACGTGCCCACTCAAGGCCATGAAGCATGACCCTGTTGCCCTTCCTTTGACTTTGGCTTCAGTGAAGTCCCTGGCTTACTTGGTAAGTACTGACTGATAAGCGGGCAGCCACCCGAGGCCTTCCATGACGGAGATCCTGTGTCCTCCGGGTTGCCTGCCCCTCACCCTTCTAGAAGGGCCTCACTGGCCCTCCACATGTGTGCCCTCAGGGACCACCTACGACTTCTCCCACTGCACCTTCTCCGGGAACGAGTCGAAGCCGCTGTGCGTGGAGCTGGATGAGCACAACCTGCCCCGCTTCCCAGAGTGGATCACCATCCCCCTGGTGTGCATCTACATGCTGTCCACCAACATCCTGCTGGTCAACCTGCTGGTCGCCATGTTCGGGTAAGCGCTCGGACTCACGCCTACCCCAGGCCGGCCCCGGGCCGGCAGCCATAGCAGCACAGCACCTGTAATGATGGGTTTAGAGGCAGGGTCTTAGGGGAGCAGTGTGGGACCATATCACAAACAGCATGTCCGGACAAGCAGTGCTTTACGTGGTCAGCTTGTGTTGGTGGGCGAAGGGTTTGAACTTAGAGCCTAGTATTTCCAGGCAGGCGCTGTCCAGCTGAGCCATGCCTCCAGCCTCCATGGCCTCTGTCCACTTGACAGCAGGGACAAGCACCCGCAGCCACCGTCAGTAAGTACAAACTGCGTGCGGCACCCTGGCCACCGCTCCCCAGGGTGCTGCGGCCACCACAGTGCTGGTGGCTCAGCCCCAGGGACTCAGTGACTCTCGCACTTCAAGGGCTTTAGTTAGCTGCCATTTTAACACATTTCATGTAGATAAAAGTATAAAGGCGAAGTCTGCCCTTTGGGCTTATGTAGAATGAGGCTGAAGTGAAAACCTGGTATGTGAAAGGTACTGGCTTTGGTCATTCTCCTTCGTATGCTTAGACTACGGCTGTTTTCTTTCTTCTTCCTTAAAGGGGCTTCAAAGAGCGCAAGGTGGCCATTTTAGCCCAAGAACTGCTTCATAATGTTGAAGGTACACAGTCACTGTAGATACATGAATTCTAGCACTGACAGAGCCTTATAAGCAACCATCTAATTTTAAGGATTTATTGATTAAACCTTGATGTGAAAGAGATTTTTGTTCCAAACCAGAAGCTATACATGACAAAATAAGCATACTTGGTTTCAAAAAACACTTTTTTGTTTTTTTTAATTTAATTTAATTTTATTTGTGTACATTTTGTTTTAAAGATGAAAGAGGCCAGGCCAGCCATCAGTGTGTCACACCTGTAGTCCAAGCAATTCAGGAGGCTGAGATCTGGAGAATTCAGCTTAAGGCCTTCCTGCTCAGAAAAGGCTGCTAGACTCCACTTCCAATTTATCAGTAAAAAGGAAGGCTAGAGGCATGGTCTAGGTGGTACAGTGCCAACAGAGAAAGCATGCAGTCCTTAGTTCAATCCCCATACTGGCAAAATCCTCTTTGAAGACATTCCCTCTCCCCCCCCCCCACCAAGAAGAGACATCTCCCATGAAGTGATGCATGATAGATGAGGGACATTTTTGCCACAGGTATGAGGAATAAAGGCTTTTATTCCTAGCCAAACATGACTGGAAGCTTATCAGAAGAAGATACCTCGCAGCAAAACTGCCAGAGACAATGGCCAAGTACTCAGAAAGGGAAAATCCACACGGTGGTCAATAGCATAGGAAAAAAGGAGTTGACTTCAAGGACAGGACATTGGTGTGAGGTGCTGGGTGTGAACCCACACAATGAGCAGAAGTTCACGGGATGCTGTGTGATTGAGGAGGAACCTAAGAAGGATGGTTGCTGAAACTCTTTAGAAGCCCAACTTCCTTGCATCTGGGACTCTATCCTAACTATGTGCATAGACACGTGTTTGTGTACACACACATCTACACATGCACATAAATGTATGTGCATATAAGTAAAGATGTGTATATGCAGAATGAAGTATATGTGTATGTACATATGTATACTTCACTCTGTGCCTGCAGGGATGGTTCTAGAACATCTCTCCTCAAAAATCTCGGCAATTTCGTTGAGCGATCTCAGAAAGGTTTCATTATTCCCCGTAGCATTCTGGGTAAATTGCCAGCTTCCTTCCTTCCCCAGTGAGGCCATCAATGGCCAGGCCCAGCTCCAGCGTATTTCCAGGCCCAGTCATGCAGTCCCTGCCAGGGCGTGTGTTTGTCAGGGCATGTATTTGTCCCCAAAATAGGGTGACCTATTACTGACCTATTATACACACACACACACACACACACACACACACACACACACACACACGTGTGCTTTTGCACATACTCCTCCCTCCAGATTACCAGCTCCGTCCTCTTCTCTTGCCGGTGCCTGCTCTCCTCTATGGTGAAGTTCCCTGACACCCTTGTATCTGGCCTCAACTCTCCCTCCTCTTAAACAGTAGCAAATTGTCTTTCCAATCCAGTCAGCTCCGAGAACGGAGCCTGCCTGTACTCTCCTCACCCAACACTTCGTGGGTTTGTTTGTGGATGAAAGGGACAGGGCTCTGCTAGCTCATCCTTCAGTTAATGCTTACAACCTTAGCTTCCTGGGGCATTCTTTACGGAGAAGCATGTAGGTGAATCAGAGACCAGGAGAGACCCAGAACAGGTGTGCAGCATCTGCCTTGTGCCAGGTACCTGAGCCACGAAGATCATGAAGCCATTAGAGGCCTTCATGAGGCAGTGAGCCGCTCTCTCCTTGCCCACCCAAAGCTGCTGGTCAGGGGAAGTCTCAGGAGCCAGGCTGCTTCTCATACGTAGGCGGCCACTGTTGGAGAGTCCAGCTGGGAGAGGGCCTCGGGTGCACACTCAGTCCCGAAGAAGCAAGCCTTCTCCAGAAATTAGATCCAAAGGCCAGCAGCTCCCAAGGCCATGGCCACTGTGACAGGTCCACTTAGTGAACCTCAGACTCAATGTTCCATGAGCTGATCACAAAAGTCATGCACGAGGACTGTGTCCCCTGTGCGTCCACTGCCTGAGTTGAGGGGTTCAGGGTCTGCTCTGTGAGGAGACAGCCCCAGGCCGTGCCCACAGCCTGCCACCACATCACAAAACTCATTGAAAAGTGGAGCAGCCTTATTTACTGTGCCATTGCTGTGCTCTCTGCATGGTACTCAACAGAGGAGAACCACACAAACACCTGTGATTATTCTACAGCAAGATAACCAATTCCAGACTCTGAACAGCTTCCCCTTGGCTAGAAGTGAACTGAAAGTCAGTGGGTGACTCTAGGCCACCTGCCCTGACGATGAACCCACCCAGCACACGTCTGAAGAGGACTCGCCAATCTAGAATTATTTCTAGACTCAACCAATGATCTAGAATCATTTCTAGAACCAGCCAATAATCTAGAATCGTTTCTGAGAATACACTTCTTAACTCTTAGGAATAATAACAGGTTTATTATAAATAGAAAAGTAGAAGAAAGGAAAAAAAATCACCAGATACAAACTACAAAGTTTGTGTTATTTAACTCTCTTAAGGGACATTACAGAAATGGAGGACCAAAAGAAGGTGATGTCTAATTGAAATAATAGTAGTTAATGCAATTGAAGCTTTCCCATGCTAAACACAGGGCCAAATGCTGGATGTGTGCTCCCTGATGTAATTGTTAACTACTGTGTCAGTATAGTCTTATAATGGCTCCCAGTGAGGAGTCAGACACAGAGGATACATCCTAGCACTGAAGGAAGAGACAACGTGGAAACGTTTAGTAGAATGCAATGCCATGCAATATAATGTAATATAATATGATACGTGTGATATAGTCAGCATGACAAGTCCACTTACAGAGAAGGACGTTCTTCCATGCTGCACTGTGTCTGTCAGCAGCAGCCGGTGCATGGGGGTAGCTTCTCTCTCAGGACTGGGTACTTGTTGCCCACAGTGTCGGTGGGGATGAAGGAGATGGGAAAGAAGGCAGACACCGATGTTTGCAGAGTCTTCTAGGCACACTAAAGTACATAGACTTTTCCTGAAGGGCCAGGGGAGTTCGTGGGCCTTCACACACAGGTGTGGCTCATGTTGGCTATGGTACTCGGGTAGCAGCTCTATATGCCAGGTTGGATTATTGTTCAAAACCAGTGGCATGAAATCGCTGGTTGTCTCTTCTTGTTGCTGGCAGTTGACTTTCTGTTTCCTCCTCTCCACTCCTTCCTGTTAAGTTTATCAATGGCATATTCTAGGATCTTGTTGAACTCATTGCAGGCTCATCCACCTTCTTCCTATTTTCTGTTGTAAAACCACTTCTATTTTAGAACAGTGAATGAAGATAATCTACCTCATGTGCAGATTGCCTTTGGAGTTTAAGGATGGATATCTTCTTGTTTTGTTTCAGTTGGTGGTGAGCTATTTATTCCTATGCAGGTGCCTGCTGATGTGGCCTGCACCACCGAGGCTGTTGGCACCTCCACTCCCCTTTCTTGGTGGTGTTTCTTTGGAGTCCTCTCTTCAAGTGACTTCCACATCATCATGTTGCAGAATGAGAGGGGAGCACTGTGTGCTGCACACTGAAACTCACACACCAGGCAGTCTGAAGGGTACCAAAGTCAGAGTCACCCCCTATCCCAAGGCCTGGGCAGCACTGTGGTTGGCTATTGCTGGTAGGCCAGGGAGGAGTGAGTGACCATCAGACATTGGTGCAGAACTGGGATAGAAATGGAATTTGCATTTCTTCTGAAATTCTAATTTCATTGTCAAGGAGACGCACAGAGAGGTCACAGTTACATTAGGTAGTGATTAGATGTCTTGTCTAACTTGTTACCCCTTCCCTCATTTTCTCCCTCTCCCCCCCCCAAGTTGTTCAGATCATTTCCAACATACTGTCTTGTGAGTATCGCTGCTGCATAGGTTCCCCCTTTGTCCTTTGTCTCACCATTTTGTTGTCCCCTTCCCTTCCCTAGTTCAGATAAACATATATACAGTCAGTACCAGGGTACCAAAATCAAACACAGTGACAACAGGGGATAAACCATAGGGGGAAGACACAAAAGAAAAAAAGAAATCATGTAGTGCATTGAGAACAAGAACAACAAAGAAAAAAAACCTCTTATGTCCATCTCTTGGAGTTCATTTTGCTTATCATCATCTTATATGGTCCTGGGTATATAGGTATTGAGCTATTCTGCTCATCTGCTTCTACCATTATTTTGACATTTACTTTTGCCTTTGTGATTTTTTATTTTTATTTTTACAGAATTTCGCATTCTGGTTTGATCAGCCTTTCTATTTTTTGTTTTTACTACCAAATGGCTTTCATTACTGAGTCACTACTATTAATTTTTTTTAATCATCTTCACATCTGTTACCCAAGTTCTTCCTTGTTTTTCACATCCAAAGCTTTCCAGGCT